GCAGCGGTGGCCATGAGTGTGCCACTGCATTCCAGCCTGGGTGACAGAGTGAGACTCTGACTCAAATAATGATAATAATAATAATCCATAGCATTCCCAACTGGGAGAGAGGTATAAAAGACACACTGATGAAACAGAAAATGTTATTTTTGAGAGTAGAAAGATAGGTCCTAGAAAATATTTTGAAGTGAAAGCAAAGTAAAAGCCTAGCAATTGGGAATTGCCTAAGTTATGGCACTTTTGGATAGTAAAATAGTACATATCCATTTAAAATGGTGCCAGAGGACAGAAAAAGAGATCAATGGAACCAAACAGATTCCAGAAAACGGACCACATGCAATATAGTGGGGAAAGAGTGATTTTATTTTATTTTTCAAGGAAGCAAGATTTATTAAGAGTACAGAAAAGCTCCCAGAGTGGGAGGGGACCCAAAGAGGTTGCCTGAAAGTGTGATATTTTTAATAAATGGTGCTGGGTCATTTAAATATTGCTACGGGGAAGAAAATGAATCTTAATCTCAGTCTCAGATCACATAACAAAACAATTCCAGAAGAACTGAGGTCAAAATGTGAAAGGTAAAGCAATAAAGTTTGGGGAAGAAAACACAGGAGAACATTTTCATAATCTTGAAGAGGAAAACAATGTAATAGGACACCAAAAGTATCAACCACATAAAGAATAAATTGATAAATTACACTATACTAAAAACTTCTAAAACATCTTATCAAAAAACATATAAGAAAACGGAACCGGGCTTGGTGGCTCAGCCTGTAATCCCGCACTTTGGGAGGCTGAGGTGAGTGAATTGCCTGAGCCTGCGTGTTCAAGACCTGCCTGGGCAACTTGGCGAGACCTCATCTCCACAATAAATCAAACAAATTAGCTGGGCATGGTGGCACGTGCCTATAGTTCCAGCTACTTGGAAGGCTGGGGCAGAAGGATCGCCGGAGCCCAGCAGGTCAAGGCTGCGGTGGCTGGGAGCAGCCACTGCACTCCAGTCTGGGTGAGAGTGAGACTCCAACTCAAAAAAAAGAAAATGAAAAGACAACCTACAGAGAGGGAGATGACATTTGAAGTTCATATAACCAACAAAGAACAAGTATCCAGAACATACAAATAACTATAAATCAATAAGAAAAAGGCAAGCAACCCAATATAAAACATGGGCCAAAATCTTGAACAGACATTTTACAAAAGAGTACATCTAAGTGGCCTATAAACATATGAAAAGTTATTTGTCTTCATTAGGTGCCAGAGAAAAGTAAAAAATTAAAAAATAAAAACGCAATGAGATCCTACTACATACCAACCAGAAAGTCAAGATGAAAAATATGAGAAATAAATATCAGATATTGATAAGGCTGTGGAGCAACTAGAACTCTCACAGCTGATAGCCAAGTAAACTGGTACAATCACTTGGAAAACTGTGGGCAGTATCTGCTGCAGCTGAGCATACATGTACCCTACAACCTAACAGTTCCACTGCTACATATATGCCCAAAAGAAGTGTGTTCTTGTGGTCAACAAGAGTTATTGGAAGAATGTTTGTCACAGCACTATTTTGAATAGTCCCAGGTGGAAAGCATTCAAATTCTATCAGTGAAAAAAAAATTTTAATGGGGTATTTTCACAGTGGACTATTATATAAAGGTCAAAGGCAGGGAAAAGTGATCATTGGTGCTAAAGTCAGAATAATGATTATAACTGGGGGGTAGTGTCTGGAAGGGGACACAAGGGGGTGTTCTAGAGTGCTAGTTATGTTCTACTTGGTGTAAGTAATATGTTCCCTTTGCAAAAATTCAAAATGTATATTAATGATTTGTGTACTTTACTTACATAGGTAATACTTTAATTAAAAGATCTTTTTAGATTAGAAAATATAGTTTATTTAGAAAGTAGATTAGGGAGAGAGAGAGAAAGAGGAGATTCACCTCCCCAAGGTAAGGGAGCGGGCCAAAGCCAGGAAACATGGACTGGCCATACCTCAAAGAGCACATGACCACACCATAGCTTAGCAAGATAATGGCCAAAAGGTGGTTTTTTTTTTTTAAGCTAGTCTCCAAAGCAAAATATGGTCCCACAGATTTTTTTTTCATGGAGGGACTAATCATAAATGGATTCAGAAAAATAAGATATTGTAAAACAAAGAATATGCACACCATTATTTCATTTTGTTAAATGTAAACAATGCTTATCTCTGGATTATAGATGACATTTATTTTCTTTTTATTTTATCTATTGTTTCATTTTTCTACAATGATCACATGTTACCTTTCGTGGAAAATGCAAGTTGCTTTTTAAAATAAAATTTGATTATGATAAGTCAGGATAAGATAATGAGGAGAGGGCTGGCACTCGAATGCTTTAGCTCACTGTGTCCAAAACAAGTCCTGGGCAGGGCTCTGTTACTGCCCTGGTCTCTGCAGGGTCCTCAGAGGTGAGAGATGGGTAAAGATAAAAGGAATGTGGTACAAACACGGATTGTGACTCAAGGTCACCTATACAGAAGAAAAGTGGAAGCTATAGGAACAGTCAAAGCTATATTGATCCTGCCTGGGCACTTAGACTTACACCCCACCAAGACCCACTGCTTCATGCCTAATCCATGTGTCAGTCTCACCCACCTTGATTGACCTTTCTTTTTTTGAGTTGGAATCTCACTCTGTCACCCAGACTGGAGTGCACTGTCCGCTCCCAGCCACCGCAGCCTCATCCTGCTGGTCTCCGGTGATCCTTCTGCCTCAGCCCTTCCAAGTAGCTGGAACTACAGGTTTGTGCTACCATGCCCGGCTAATTTTTGATTTTTATTGTAGAGGTGAGGTCTCGACAACTTGCCCAGGCAGGTCTCGAACCCGCGGGCTCAGGCAATCCACTCACCTCGGCCTCCCAAAGGCACGGGATTACAGGCTGAGCCACCAAGCTCGGCGACCTTTCTTTTAAGTTTCCCCTTGACCACATCTGCCTATGCTGAATGCAGTGTTTTAAGGTGTGCCAATGCCATGTTTCCCATGCTCTGCGTATTTATGATGATGCCACTCTAATTCCCCATGCAGCAGCTGCTCTGCATCCACTTAGCAAACCAGGGTGGAAGTCCCAAGTGGATGATGGGCTCCTCTCTTCCTCATCAGGGAACATGGTGTGCTATTTAATGAGCCTGATTTTCCCATCTATGAATCAGAGTAGGACAGCTGAAGACTCTCCTTCAGGTTTATTATGGAGGGTGGAAAAGTATATCCTAACCACCAACTGGAAGAATTGAGCTGTGAATTATTTTTCTTTCTTATGGGGCTCCAGGAGAACACCCTATATGTCCTGCAAATCTAAAAGAGGAAAAACTGGGCAACTGTATTTTTCATATCATAAGCTTCCCGATAATGCACATATGTCCAACTTGTGAAAAGAGCCATCTCCATAACCGCCCTGTTAACTAATTTATGTTGATTGACCACTTATGTTTTATTTTTTATTTTTTAATTTTTATTTTTTGAGTTGGAATCTCACTCTGTCACCCAGACTGGAGTGCACTGGCCGCTCCCGGCCACTGCAGCCTCGACCTGCTGGACTCCTGCGATCCTTCCACCTCAGCCTTCCAAGCAGCTGGAACTACAGGTGTGCACTACCACGCCTGGCTAATTTTTGATTTATTGTAGAGATGAGGTCTTGCCAAGTTGCCCAGGCGGGTCTCAAACCTGCGGGCTCAGGCAATCCACACACCTCAGCCTCCCAAGGTGCAGAATTACAGGCTGAGCCACCGAGCCCAGCTTACATATGTTTTATTGCACCTAATCTTCAGGGTCTAGACCAGGCGTGTCCAATCCATGGGCTACAGGCAGCATGCGGCCCAGGACAGCTAGTAATGTGGCCCCACAAAATCTCTTAACATCATGTGTTTTTTGAGCATTTATTTTCTTTGTGACCCACAATCATGCCTTACTCATGACATCACTTTTTGGCAGCACATACATTTGTGAGCAACTACTTTCAATGGTGAAGCACACAAAGAACAAAATACACACAAACATTTCTGATGAGCACCTTGAGAACTCACTAAGAATTGTGACCACTTCCATCAAACCAGACATTAATAGATTAGTTTTACAAAAACAAGGCCAAATTTCCCACTAGTTTTATACTGTTCTCATTTTTCTAAACTTTATAATAAAAAATAAGTGAAGTCTTATTATGTATATACACTAACTATATAATTTACTTGCCGCCCAAGACAATTCCTCTTTATTCCCTGTGTCCCAGGGAAGTCAAAATGCTGGACACCCTGGCCTAGACTTTCCCTAGGTCATATAAAATAGGTTCTACTCATTCCAACAAGTACATATTGTATTCTTATTATGTGTCAGTCACTTTGCTAAATGTTAGAGATATGAGAGTCAACAGAAAACATTCCTGCCTTCATGGAGCTTACAGTCTGGGGGGAACTCACATATTATATAAACATATATAAAACTGCAATTGCGCTGAGATAGAGAAGTACCTGGCGCTGAGAACCAGTAACAGGTTGGCCAAGTAAGACTTCACTGTGGAAATAAAGTTTGAGGTGAGCTCTAAGAATGATGTAGAAGTTAACCTGATAGCGAAAGAGCAGACAGCGGAAACAGTTTGTGCAAAGGCCTGGGATTGAAGAAAAATCTAAGTACCTGTAAATCAAAGATTAGTGTGGCAGTGGGGGTCGGGGAAAAAGGAGGTATTCATTCCATCCCAGCCTGATACCTGACACTCCAGAGCCAGAGTCCCTAGCCAATTCAGCCTCTCCTGTACAGACCTAGCCCCAGTCGCAGAAGCTGAAAAGCACAGGTGACTTGTAGAGACGAGAAAGAAAGCATTCAAGAAACAGGTATGGGTGATGCCTGCGATTTTCCCAAGGAAGACTTTCAGGGAAGGAATGAAACCATAGAGACTGCGGGGACGAGCAGACAACAGGCAAAAGATCTCCCCAAGACCCTTCAAAAGAAATATAGGCTTGACACAGAGGGCTCTCCCCTTAGCCCCAGGCGGATAGGTGAGAGACGAAGGAAAGTGACAAGAGTAACAGAGCAAAAAGCCCGTACGCCGCCGATTCCTTTCCCATCACTGCGGCTGCGCGCGCGTCGCTCCGGAAGCGGAAGTGCACAAGAGGTCAGGATGGCTTTTCAAGATGGCGGCCCTCAAGGCGCTTGTATCTGGCTGCGAGCTGTTTCTCCGAGGGCTCCTGGCGGGCCCAGCCGCGACCAGCTGTATTAGGCCTCCAGTTCGCGGGTTCAGGGAAGGTGAGTCTTGGGTCCCAACGATCTCCCGAAATGGAGAAGAGCGGCGAAGATTGCTTCCGCCAGCCCGACTGCGGTTCTACCTCGCCTTCCTTCACGCAGTTCTAACACATTGGAGGTGCTGGCGCTCCGGAGGTGCTTAAAATGCCCCGTCCAGACCCCGGTGCCGTTATCTTGGTCTCCCCCTTGTGAGTGTTCTCACGAGGCGGGGAAGGACCGAGAGAAAGGCCTGCTTACTTAGCAGGAGCAGAAGAGCAACCTGTTCCAAGGTCGAGGAAGGTTTTCGTTAAGGGTTTGCATGTTAGTTCTCCTTCCCATTTTCTCCGAACCGCAGTCTCCTTTCTTAAAGGTTCCCTGGGACACCAGGGAAGGACATCTGGATGCTTTACTCAGAGCCTCCCTTTCCAGTTTGTCTTCTGAAAATGCTGTGATCTGATGGAGGCTTTTTCTGCCTGGCTTGCTAGTCTCACTGAGAGGGAGAGGCCGAGGTGGAAAGGCCATAGAATAGCTGAGACAGGCATATACAGGATGGTGGTTCTGCTTTTCATTCATGTTAATCTGCAAAAGCAGCGTGATCCTAGCATCACCTGAAAGCTTACTGAAGGCCAAGTGCTGTGCTTCAAGCTGTGAGGGAATTCTGGAGAAAGAAAATACAGCCCTTTTCCTGAAAAGTTTAGGTCCTAATGAGATGATATGTGTACACTCCAATAAATTCAAGTTAGCTGTTTACGTGAGGAAGTCCAGAGAGACTCAGTTAATGGAAACAGCAAAGTCAGTTGGAAGTTTTCATAAAGAGGATGTGTCTTGAACAAGCTTATAAAAGGATGTAATCTGGCGGAGAGTGAAAGGGCTTTCCGGACATAGCCTTCCTTTGTGCAGTCCTGAAAGCAGGAAAGGACGAGTGATGTGCAAAAGAGATGTGCTTTGTGTTTGTGTATTTTGTTTAGTTTTGTTTTTTGAGGATCTGGCATAGTATTGACCAGCCAAGATATCCCTTAAAGCTGAAAAGTATACAGTGGTAAAGAGTGATCATTGTTGTCAGGGAAGCAGAAAAATCCAAAAAAGAAGAGCCTAGTGTAGGGGCCATTAGATTTTTCTCAGAAGAGGTTTCTCTTTTTAGCTTTCAAACAGCCATTTCAATAGAGTGGCAAAGAGTCCAGTTTGGAGAAACAAAAGAGATAGTTGACAAAAAAATGGAAGTAGCAGGTATGTTTGAAGAATTTCACTATGAAAGGAAGATGGAACATTTGTTAGGAAAAAAAAGTCTGGATGCTGCCTGGTTAGCTAATTCATTACTAAATCCACTAATTAGTAAATCCATTAACAAGTAAAGACACCAACAAGCTCATGCTGATGATAGGACATGGATAAGGTATTTCATCTATTTCCATGCTGCAAAATAGCATTTGCTCATACCATTCTTGAGGATGTCTACCAAGTGTCAAACACCAATAGCTGCAAGGCAAGGAAATTTTCTGTTTGCTTTGTTTTAACTACAGGAATATTTGAGGTTAGGCTTAAAGAATTTTTTTCAGTTGGGAGGTTTGTGAAACAATAGACTATAAGCCAGGTCGGTATACATGCCTGTAGTCTCAGTTACTTGGAAGGTTGAGGCAGATGAGAGTATTGCTTGGGCCTGGGAGTTCAAGTCCAGCCTGGGCAACATAGTGAGATCCCGTCTCTCAAAAAAAGAAAGAAAGAAATAATGGACTGTATAGTCAAGTGGGTCTCCGAAGTCCTCTTCTCCATAAATACTTAGGTTGGTAACTCTTCTGTTACTCATTTTTTTGTTTTTTAATATATATTTTAAAACATTAATGTTATTTCTATTATTGAGATGGGATCTCGCTGTGTTGCTTATGCTGGTCTTAAACTCATGGACTCACTGTCAGACCTAAAATTAAAATGTTAGATTAAATTGATGTGACCTAAATGAAGACAGAACCATATTCTGTATTCTTCTAGCTCCAAAGCTTTTAAATTAAAAAAACTTTCTTTTGCTATTCTAGCCATTATTTGTAAGGCATAAAGTATTGTACATATGACTAATTTTGACTATGACAGCTGGTATATTTGACACTCAAATAATATTGTACACATAGAATTTAAAGTTGCAGCCGGGTTCGGTGGCTCAGCCTGTAATCCTGCGCTTTGGGAGGCCAAGCTGAGTGGATTGCCTGAGTCCGTGGGTTCGAGACCCACCTGGGCAACTTGGTGAGACCTCATCTCTACAATAAATCAAAAAACTAGCCGGACGTGGTAGTGCGCACCTGTAGTTCCAGCTACTTGGAAGACTGAGTGGAAGGATTGCCGGAGCCCAGCAGGTCAAGGCTGCGGTGGCTGGGAGCGTGCCACTGCACTCTAATTTGGGCGACAGAGTGAGACTTCAACTCAAAAAAAAAAAAAACAAAACAAAGTAAAATTGTGGGGAGGCCTCGCATGGTGGCTCAAGGCTCTAATCCCAGCACTTTGGAAGGCCTAGGCAAGAAGATTGCCAGAGCCCAGGGGTTCGAGACCAGCCTGGGCAACTTGGTGAGACTTTGTCTCTACAATATATCAAAAAATTAGCCAGACGTGGAAGCGTGCACCTGTAGTTCCAGCTACTTGGAAGACTGAGGCAGAAGGATCACTTGAGCCTAGCAGGTCAACGCTAGGGTGTGGCCAAGAGTAAGCCCCTGGTCTCCAGCCTGGGCAACAGAGTGAGACTCCAACTCAAAAAAAAAAAAGTTGTGGGGAAGAAACTGCTTCTATTGCTGAAAATAGACAAACATCCCACTTTACAAAGTTTCAGATCATACTACATAATTTTGTCTGAAAGTTCAAGAGGACTGAGCACCAGTGTTCCTGCCTGTGAAGACTTCCAGTCTAAAGCAGTGGTTTTCAAGTGGGGCAGTTTTGTCCTCCAGGAGACCTGTGGTGATGTCTACAGACATTTTTGGTCGTCAAAACTGGTTCTACTGGCATCTGGTGGGTAGAGGCTAGGGGTGCTGCTAGATATCTTTTTTTTTTTTTTGAGTTGGAGTCTCACTCGGTCACCTAGACTAGAGTGCAGTGGCCGCTTCCAGCCACCGCAGCCTCGCCTGCTGGGCTCCGGCGATCCTTCCGCCTCAGCCTTCCGAGTAGCTGGAATTACAAGCGCGCGCTACCACGCCCGGCTGATTTTTTGTAGAGATGAGGTCTCGCTGCCCAGGCGGGTCTCAAACCCGCGGGCTCAGGCAATCCACTCACCTTAGCCTCCTAAAGGCGCAGGATTACAGGCTGAGCCACCGAGCCCGGCTTGCTAGATATCTTGAAACTCACAGGATAGCTTCTGTAACAAAGAACCATATGATCCAAAATGTCAGTCCTGCCACTGTTGAGAAAGTCTGGCCTAAAGTTTGACAAGAGGAATACACAAAGCCAACAAAAAAGGTTATTGAGGAAGAAGCAAGACTTAAGGGGGATGAAAATGGAAATTGTGATTTTTATCAAGTGGTGTGCTAGGCTTTCCACATGCATTTATACAAACTTTTCAATAGTACCTTGAAGGTGGATATTAACTATTCTTGTTCTTATAAATGAGGAGATCCAGTTCCAAGGAGTTCAGTAGCCTACCTGACATCACATGTCTAGTAAGTAATGGAAGTAGAGCCAACAATTCCCCTCTCCACCTGTAACGTCACCTTGGTATCCCATGGTAGGGCCTCCCTCATTGTTCCTCCTTCCATGAGAGCTCTTACCAGTTAACTTGCCCAAGACCATTTAATGCCTTTATGGCTGGCACTGCCAGATTCAGCAAATGTTATGCTAGACCTCATTCTTGCCTTATCACTCTTAGAGCCCTTGTCAGGGACATGTATTTAAAATAGGAAAAAGTGAGCACATATTATATGAATGAACAGTCATGATCAGGCACTTATAGCAGAGTATTGAAATAAGTAAAGGTGGCCCGGGTGCGGTGGCTCAAGCCTATAATCCCAGCACTTTGGGAGGCCAAGGTGAGAGGATTGCTTGAGCCCGCGGGTTCGAGACCAGCCTGGGCAACATGGTGAGACCTTGTCTCTACAATAAATCAAAAAATTAGCTGGGTGTGGTAGCACACACCTGTAGTTCTGGCTACTTGGAAGGCCGAGGAGGAAGGATCACCAGAGCCCAGCAGGTTGACGCTGGGGTGGCTGTGAGTGTGCCACTGCTCTCCAGCCTAGGCGACAGAGTGAGACTCCAACTCAAAAAAAAAAAAAAGTAAAGGCCAAAGGGAATTTGCTTCATTTCTCAGTTAGCTGAAGGGATTTTCTCGAGGACCTAGCAGTTCAGAGAAGTTACCTGAACTTGTGCCTGACAGGATGGGCAGTTCTATAGCTAAAAACTTTGAGAGAGAAGTGAGCAAGTTGGGGGCCTTAAAAAATGCAAGGGACATAGTTCAGAGTAACCTGCTAGTAGAAAGAGATTTTTGTGTAGCCATAAGACTCCGCACACTGGGCATAGGGCAAAGGAACATTCCCTTGGGGTCCAAGGAAAAGAAGGGGAGAGGCAGTGAGGGAACCAGAATGCTTTAATGGCAGAATTAAAGATGAACTGGAGGAAGCAGTGCTTGAGGCTGGACGGTGTTTGGCCAGATCCTCTCCCTGACGCTGCACAAGACTATGAGGCCGCCTTCTAGCCCTCAGTTATTCCATTCCTTCTTGCTCTACTTGGGACTTGGTTTCCACACATCCTTTCCCAAAGGGCCCTTGGTCTCTGGACATTTTCTGTGGCAGTGCCCTGTGCTCTCCGTCTTTCTTCACTTCCTTCTTTACTAAGCAGTTGTGTCTTGTCTCAAACTCCTGACCGCAAGCAACTCCTGGCCTTCCACCTCAGCCTCCCAAAGCGGTGAGATTACTGACAAAAGCCACCACACCTGGCCTAGTAGTTGGATCTTTATACAGCTGCAGTTCACTGTGTCTCTATGTGACCATCAAAATCTTTTGCATTCTAGGTGGAATTTTAAAAAGTATATATTTTAAAATATTAATGTTATTTTTAGTATTGAGATGAGATCTCACTATGTTGCCTGTGCTGATCTTGAACTTCTGAGCTCAAGCAGTCCTCCCACCCTGGCCTCCCAAAATGCTGGGATTACAGGTGTGAGCCACCACACCTAGCCAGGTCGTTTTTTGTTTTCTTGTAGAGGTGGAGTCTCACTATGTTTCCCGGGCTGGCCTCAAACTCTCGGGCTCAGCAGTCCTCTCGCCCCAGCCTCCTGAGTAACTGGGACTATAGGCGTGCATCACTGTGCCTTTTATAGTCACTGCAATCTCACCACAATGTTATTTGCTCCAAATTAGTATAATTCAGCTATCTTGGACTCCATCCTAGGCGAGTATTTACTGAAGTACTCAAAGGACCTCTTTACGAGACATGGACTTTATCATAGTGAAGTTCCCATACTTGGTTTGTTCCTTTCCTCCTCTAGGGCAAAGACTGTGGTTCCTATTCCACTGTAACTTTCCACAGTAGAGCGGAGCTGTACAGTCCACAGTGCTCCACACACGTGTTGCCTCACTTGGGCCAGATTATTTCATGTGTGTGAGGAGATTTTGGCCCTTAGCTCCAGTTTAGAAAACTGCTTCATCTCTTTCCTTAGTTTACTTGATACCACCGTATCTCAGAACACAAAAGTGATTCCATCTTTTTCTAAACAAGTTTTCTGTTAGTGCCTGAATCTCTTAGTTCAGCCTTTCTTAGCCACCCCCACTTCTCTTGAATGGAGAGGAGGCCAGGGACAAAATGGATCTCAGGTTTTGTTTGGTTTTGACATGTTTTTGTATGCATGTTGAAAATCAATACTATTTTGATTCCTATCTCCTCTTTCTAGAGGCTTAAAATCTACTAAGGGCCTCTTGAGGCTCCAGCCAGGCCTTCTCTCCCTGATCAGTCTCAGTGTCCTGAGTTCTCAGGTCTTTCTATAAGATAAGCATCTGCCTATTGTTTTACCCACTGGCTTCCTAGTGAGATGATTCACTGTCTTAGAGTTGCTGTGTGGCCTCATGAACAGTGAAGCTTGCCATGGGCTTTGATCTCTTTTCCAGGGGCCAGTGGGATGACTTCAGGGTTTGGTTCTCTGCCGGGAGTGATGTGTGTTTTGTTAGACTTGTTTACCTCATGGTTAGGACCCAAGTGCCTCCATCAAGAAGGGAACCACATGTTTATTCACTTTGTGTTTCAGGGCATTGTTCTTTGCTGACTCCAGTGGTACCAGAATATGTCTCTCCTTTTGATTCCTATGGGAATTCTCAGAAACTGTCCCCTCTACCTGTTAATTGCTCCGACTAGGTGGTCTCAGGCCATCTCTCAACTTGGTTTTTGCAAATTTGTGTGGTTTCCAGGGTCCCTGGAGTCCCTACTGGGCTGGGGATATGACTTCCTTCTACTGCCTCCCTACTTCCCCACCCCTCATTTGGAGGTTGTGTCTGCAGATTGACACATTGCAATGACTTTTTGTCTGCAGTTGTGCTGGCTTCCAGACTGAGGTCCAGGTTGCGTCTCACCCACATCTCGTGTGGAGTGACGTGGGGTGATGCGGGGTGACGCATTTTCTCTCACATGGAGAAACCTCGTTTGTCTCCGAGTTGATTAGTGACTACAGTGTTCTCTAGAGAATGCCTGGGGCTTTTCTAGCCATTGTTCTTCCTGGAGTTGAAGCTAAGGGGCTCTCAGGTTGGCTGTTTTGTAGGAATTAATCTTTGTGAATGGCTTGCCTAGGAAACAAATGGGGAACATTTCCAGGCAGGCTGTGTCCAATTAGGTGTCGGTCCCAGAGCTCAGTGATCACAGATGCTGCCATGGGCCTCTGGTTGGGTTAGAATTGCCTTTTTTTTTTCTTTATACATTTTCTTCTCTTTTTATTGTTTTTTTATTGCAAAAGCAGTAAATGTTCAGAAACTTAAAAATACAAATGGGCAAAAAGAAGAAACTAAAAGCACCTAGTGCCACTACTGAGAGCTAACCAGTATTACTGTTTAGGTATATAGCTTTAGGGACCGTGAGCCTCCTGAGATCACACCTAATTGTGTATATGCTGTGGACATTTTCCCAGGGTGAGGTCTTTAGCTTTCACTGGATTCTCAGAATTAAGAATCTTAGGCTCCTTCTAATCTGTACTACTTCTTGCCTTGGCCAGAGCTGATTAAAACTAAATTGTAGCAAGCTCTTGTTAAAATATGGTTTCAGTATTTTGAGAGACAGTGTGCAGCCTAGCTATATGGATTGAAGTTTTCTATTACAGTAATTACCAATCAGAAGGGAACCGTGACAAGTATTTTGCTCCCTAAAAATAATACCATTTATTAAATATTTGCTGTGTACCAGTTTCTATGCTAATAGCTATAGCTTCTCTCTTTCTGAAGAAACGGGAAAAAAGGAAGACTCTCCAAGAACTATTTGACTCTGTTTGTCAAATGTGAGCTATTTGCTTGGTTCTTCTTCAGATTATTGTTCGGGTTGTCATTCTGCACCCTGAAAATGTAAGCTAGGAAACATATAGCCTGACACATGTGTGGGGCTGATCGACCTGCCCTAAGGGCCTCCGACTAAATAGGCAAAGTGCTGAGGGGGGCCTCTCCATCCGGAATGGCAGGACTCCTTGAAAATCTTTTTGGACCCAACGTCTGCAGGCTCCTTCTTCCCACCTCTTCCATCACCCCTCTCTAGCAGACAACAAGATGCAACCCTGCAGGGAGCGGAGTGAGAAGAGAGTAGAGTAGAGAGGGCTTAACTTGGAACTCTCAGGACATGTGCTGGCAGTGAACTTGTCTTGCTGCCCATCCGCCGTGGGGGCACTGGCGCAGTGTTAGTTCAGTGCTGTATCTTACATTGCAAACTCTTCTGAGTCAGAAGCCATTATATCAGATTCTCTTTGTTCAAGGACACTCACGGGGTACTTCTGAAGGTCTTTAGATGGCTGCTGTCCACCCTCTTATTGCAGCCGTGGTAGGACAGCATCTTGCCGATTCCTTTGGATAGAACCAAGAAGAATCTTGTCATAGAAAGGCAGAAACAGTGTGGAAAGGTCCTTGATCTCAGTGAGATGATACCACCTGGGTATCCTGGGCTTGCTACCACCCAGCCTCAAGAGTGTAGGGCATTGGCACTTGCGGGTGAATCCTCCATGCTTTCTGTTCCAGGTGGGGACCGTGGGAGAGTGCAGATGAAAGGCTCCTTCTTTCCGCGTGTGTAGAATTTGAGCTGTTATTTGAAACTCCCTGTTCCTTGTTAAATGGCTGACCTAATTTTTCCCCTTTATCTCTTTAGTGGTGGAGATCCAAGAAGGGAAGACAACTATAGTAAGTATCATTGAGTTGGCCACTTATAACCTCTTTAACACTTGGAGCTGCCTGACTGCTCCTTGGAGGGAGGGAGGGCCCAAACTTGACTCCAGTTCCAGGATCAGCTCCCTCAGTGACCATAAATCCCACAGTCTACTATTTTTCAAACTGTATGCTGTAGTGTGGGTAATAAGAAACAGTCGCTGTGCCTGGGCTGAGGTATCTGTTATTTGATTAAAGTGGCCTTTTGTATGGCAAGGTCTCAAAGACCTTTTCTGATAAGTTATTTGGCAGGTGATAAATCAGTTTCCCAAAGGAGAAACTAAGGCATCATTGCAGGCCTAGAAAGCCAGTGTAAACTGACCCAGGGCCAGGATCCTGGACCTAGTTCCTTTTCTTTCTGCCTGGAATGACTAATCTACTCCTTAAATGATGCATTTAAAAGGTGACATGCTCCGGGCCTTGGCCTTACTAACTGGCGCCCTGGCTTGTCTGTTGGTAAGAAAGCTGGGAAGGACTCTTCATCCACCCACTCCCCCCTTTCCCTCATTGAGCCCATCTCACCTCCCTTCCTTGTGGAGTCACGGGATCTAGATTATCCTATAATCCTTAAAAGACAGTGTTGTTTTCACATGGTCTTCCATGCCTCCAAGAAATCCTTAGCCACTCTACAGAGTGCCCAGAAGCCTCTGTAACTTCCATGTCAACCAGGGATATTTAACCCTTTAGGTAGCCAGCCAAGCTTAGTCCTCCCCAGGGCAGTCTTGTCCCAGACAAGTCTTTTGGGTCTTCCCTTGAATACTTCCTCAGCCTTTCCACGGCTTAGCCTCAAAATAATTCTTTTTAGGGCACCCCCATCCCCATAGGGCATCTTTTTTGGCTCCCGGAGTCAAAACTCCCCCAAAAACATTTACTATATAAACTCCAAGCTGGCAGAGAGAAATACCTTTGACTTTTGAGTATAAAGAGCATTTTCCTATGGGGCATTAGTGTGCTGTTTGTAGCATGTAGCTGAGAATTTTCTCAAACAACATGTCTGTTTCTGGCATAGTTGTGGTTGCTGTGATAGAAAGGTAGTTAGCAGTGCCCCGCACAGCCAGGTGGTACTTCAAGCTCCCTTTCCCTTTTGCTAGATCTCCCCCAGGGGACAGTGTTGCTTCCCTCCCAAAGCCTCTCAGACCTGTCCCAGCCTCACTCATAATTCATGCCCTCGGTCAGCAAGGCTTTCTAAACTCCCCCCTTGCAATTGGAGCTAATTCCCAGATCGTTGGTTTGTTGCACTTAGTAATTTCAAGGCTGTGTCACAGGATACAGCAGCGATGGGGAGGCCTCAGCAGGGTTTAGAAGATGGCATCCAAGCCAGGCTCGGTGGCTCAGCCTGTAATCCCGCACTTCGGGAGGCTGAGGTGAGTGGATTGCCTGAGCCTGAGGGTTCGAGATCCGCCTGGGCAACTTGGTGAGACCTCATCTCTACAATAAATCAAAAACTAGCCAGGCATGGTAGTGCACGTCTGTAGTTCCAGCTACTTGGAAAGCTGAGGCGGAAGGATCACCAGAGCCCAGCAGGTCGAGGCTGCGGTGGCCAGGAGTGTGCCACTGCACTCCAGTCTGGGCAACAGAGTGAGACTCCAACTCAAAAAAAAAAAAAAAAGATGGCATCCAGAATGATAAAAGGAGCAGAACAGAGGCATGTGTCTTCCCACTTGTTTTGTGTTGTTTTATACATACATAAATAAATATATTTAATATAAAAGGGTACTTCCATAATGAACATTTGTATACCTAACCTTGAATTATACCCCACATATTTAAAACAAAAAATTAAAAAGCATATATAACCGCATATGTGTATATGTACACACATGCACACTATATGCATATATATTTGATGAAGGAGTGCACATAGATACTTGCTTATCTAGGCACACCCTACAGTTTCTCAGCCTTGGCACTCTTGGCATTGGGGCTGGGTAATTCTTTGTGTGGGAGCTGTCCTGTGTAGTGTAGGCTGGTTAGAGCATCGCTGCTAGATGCCTGTAGCACTCCATCTCCCAGTTGTGGCAAGAAAAAATATCTCCAGACATTGCCAGGTGTGCCCTGGGGAGAAAGATTACCCCTGGTTGAGACCCACTGGCATAGACTTAGCTGGGTTAAATAAAGCTAGAAACTACAGTTTCCTCTGAGGAGGACACATGGGATTGGAGGGAGACTTATTCTGGACTCTACATCCCTGTGCCATTTGATACTTTTTACCATGTGCCTATATCGTTTTTCCCAGAGGTGGGGGAAAAGGAAACCTGGTGTTCTGGTGTTTCTGGGATGTTTTGAGGACAGAAAGGTAGCATTCAATCGATACAGCAAATCCCTCTCTCCCTGTTGCTACTAGTATTAAACCCCTGCAGGGCACCAAAGGCCGCCCAGTATGCAGCAACTGCAGCATAAACACCACAGTTCAGAAAAATATACTAGCTATTCCCACAAGACCCTCTCCACCAGGGTAAACTTTCACCAACATCCCCATCGTTTGGAGTTTGCTCAAAAATAAGTGGCTCTGTGCTGGCTCTGTCCCTCACACTAGCTTACTCTCTCTGCCTCCTAGATTGAAGGCCGTATCACTGGGACTCCCAAGGAGAGTCCAAATCCTCCTAACCCTTCTGGCCAGTGCCCCATCTGCCGCTGGAACCTGAAGCACAAGTATAACTATGAGGTGAGTCTTCACAGAGACACTCAGTGCTGCGTGTCACTAGAGCAGCCTCGTCCCCCTGTGGCTACTGCTGCGTCTCACGAAGTCACCACAGACAGCAGCATTTTGTCCAGTGGTGCTCTACCCAGCCTCCACATGAGAATCACCTGGGAGCTTTAAAAAATAATGATACCCAGGCTCCCCCCAGACCAGGAATCAGTCTCTGGGGGTGGGGCCTTTGCATTTTTTAAAAACTCTCCTGTGATTCTGATGTGCAGCCAGGGTTGAGAGCCACTGACCGAGGTCATTTTCTGGTTGTACTTCAAACCACCAGGGCCCTGTAACCAGCATGCAGGGTTTGTGCATCTCGTGGGAATGTTTTTTGTTTTGTTTTGTTGAGTTGGAGTCTCACTCTGTCTCAGGCTAGAGTGCAGTGGCATGCTCATGGCCACCGCAGCATCAACCTGCTGGGCTCAGGTGATCCTTCCGTCTCGGCTTCCAAGTAGCTGGAACCACAGGCATGCGCCACCATGCTCAGCTAATTTTTTGATTTATTGTAGAGACGAGGTCTCGCCATGTTGCTTGGGCTGGTCTTGAACCCCTGAGCGCAGACAATCCTCTTGCCTCGGCCTTCCTGCTTTCATAGTGAGGGTGTATTTAAATAAGCTTAGCTGGGCTCGGTGGCTCAGCCTGTAATCCTGCACTTTGGGAAGCTGAGGTGAGTAGATTGCCTGAGCCCATGGGTTCAAGACCTGCCTGGGCAACTTGGCGAGACCTATCTCTACAATAAATTAAAAAATTAGCCAGGCGTGGTAGCGCGTGCCTGTAGTTCCAGCTACTCGGAAGGCTGAGGCGGAAGGATTGCCGGAGCCCAGCAGGTTGAGGCTGCAGTGGCTGGGAGCGGCCAATGCATTCCAGTCTGGGTGACAGAGTTTGACTCCAACTCAAAAAAAAAAAAAAAACCAAGTTCTTGGTTCTCACTGTGATCTGGGAATACATGTACTGTCTCTTTCCATATTGTGTCTGATTGCTCTGGCTCTTCTACTGCAGTTGTTTCCAGGGAAAGAAGAGTGAATAATAACAGTAGGTAATGTATTGTGTGTACACTCAATGTCAGGGACTGTGCTTACATGTTTTAATTTCCTTAGTAACCTGTGAAATAGGTACTTTTTTCATCCTCATTTTACAGATGAGTAAATTTAAGGCACAGAAAAGTTAATTAACTTGCCCCAGATCACCCAGCTGATAAGTATCAGAGCTGGAATATACACCCCAGGAATACCAAGCCCAGGCATGGACCCCTGTTCCTAATGGCTACTATGTAACTCCTCTCTGGAGGTGGGGAGGGCCTAGTGTAAGGACACAGCCCTGGGGAAGTCCACACTTATTTTTTAGAGCTCTCGCTGGTGACATTAAGCACCCTATTTTAGAATTTCAAGTGATTTCGGCTCTGGGCCAGTTTGACCTGCACGTTGTCCCTGTGCCCTGTTGTGGAATGGGATGACTAAGGGCAAAGATCTTGGTCAGGTGATAAGAGCAGGAGAGGCCACATGCCCGTGGGCTCTGAACAGAATGACCCAACTAATCTCCTGGGCTGGAAGCCTTGGCTTCAGGCCACCCTGGGGGTGGGGGCTCTTTCACCCTGCCCTGGGGCCCTTCTGCTGATGGCTGCCTGGAGTAATAGAAAGTAAGTATGAGGCAGAGGGGCAGTGTTCAGAGCTTCCCGCATCATGGAAGTTAGTGGGGTGGTTGGCACACTTGGAATTTGAGCTGCTAATAGGAAAGTGAGCCCTATATCTGCCCAGCCACCATGGGGCACTCTTCCTACCAGCCTTTTCCAGGAAATGTCCTTGGCTCTGTTTACCCAGCAGAAGACTGATCCCCTCTGAGATGGAGGCTAAAGTTGCCTTTCCTCTTACCCTCTCTACTCAGCACCGTTAGCCTGAGCTACACAGAGCTGTTAGCTTGCTTGGCAGCCTGCTGTGGGGGCCAGGACCTTGAGCCCAGTTTATTAGTCCTGGATTAATCCAATCCAAGTTCTTTTCATCAGATTCTGAAGAGTACAGGGGTGGGAATTAGAGGCCTGGGTCCCTCAGGAACGGTCCAGTGATTAAAACAAATCTGTGGTTATACAGCGAGGCGCCTGCCAGGGCAGCAAGTTGGTTTGTGGAACATGACTGCTAAGACTAGCATGCCAGGCCCCTGGGGGGAGGGCATGTGTTTTTTTTAACTCCTTCAGTCATTATGTGGCTTGGTGGGGAAGTACTCCCTTGTCTTGCTTCTGGCTGTGTTTATCCTTGTTTCTTTGAACTCTGCCAAGCAGCTGGGGTTAGGGGGAGCATATGATAGTCTGAAGGAAGCCCAAGGATGCATTCACACATGGTCAAAGGGGGCTTAGAACATGCGAGATTAAACTTCACAACCCTGGTTCCTTCTTCCTCAGCTTCTATGCCTGCCTACTCCAGAGGCAATCACCAAAGGTGAATGGGCTGTTTCCATATACTCTGGTCTGTGATATGTAGGCTCTGACTGAAATGGTATAGGATTTCCCTCTTGTGTGGAAATATGTGGCATGCCCCCACCCCACCATGGGTGAGGAGAATAACCCAACAGACATTCTGTCCAAGAAAGTTACTTCAGGTGCATAAAAGATTGCTGACCCTTCTTGAAGAATTTTTATTCTCCGACCTGGTCTATCAAAAGATTATCTCCTGAGGGAGCTGGGTACTCTTGGGTTTGTTATTGACCACCGACAATATTAATGAGTTAGGATTAACCTTGGTTAGGGTGAAGGTAACAGATCAGTGTGCAAAGCTCTGTGTGGAGGGAGTGGTCTCAGCAGGTTCCAAGACATCAGCCTCTTGGACTGCTGGGATTCCACAGCTTTCTCAGCATCGAAAGCAAGCCCAGCAACCCTCACCTCTTTTTGGTTTCCACTAGGATGTTCTGCTGCTCAGTCAGTTCATCCGGCCTCATGGAGGCATGCTGCCCCGAAAGATCACTGGCTTGTGCCTGGAAGAGCACCGCAAGATTGTGGAGTGTGTGAAGATGGCCCACCGTGCAGGTAGAAGGCCCTCAGGACCAGGAGGGGCAGAGGGCCGCAGGCACCATCTCCCCACCCATCTGCCCATGTTCTATCCCCTCCTGGAAAAGAAGTGAATATCCATTATTAATTTCACTCACCCTCTGTGCCAACCTCCCCACTCCTGGGGACTTTTCCCTCTGGTCCCCTCAGAACTGCAGAGGGAGCTACAAAAATTATCCATTCTTCCTGCCCCTCAGGTCTCTTCCCAAATCACAGGCCTCAGCTTCCTGAAGGATTTGTTCCGAAGAGCAAACCTCAGCTCAACCGGTAAGCAAACCTGGATATCAACAACCTGAATGCCTGTGGGCCCTCAGCTCTCACTGGCCGAGGCAGCCACTTGCTGGAGCTCATCCTTCAGCTCAGGAAAGCGACAGTGTGCCTTGGCTGTCGGGTCTATTCCCTTCCGCTTAGGCACCCGCCCCTATCAGCCCCACCTCTGCTGCAGTCTGTGCTACTTCTGTCGCCTCCTTTGCTGGCCTCAGCCTCTCTCCTTCCCTCCCCTGTAGAACTCTTAGCAGGGGCAAGGAGGGTAAGAAGGCTGCTGATTGGGCATAAAAATGTGCTAATCCCCTGTTTATGACATCACATTGGGTTGCTATGGGGATGTTAGAGCACTTTACCAGTTCAGTATCCTAGCCTCCCCAGCACTGGGGTTATTAGAGGGCAGAATGAGGCCTGGGAAATAGGAGGGCTCAGCCAGGCACCGTGGCTTACTCCTATAATCCCAGCACTTTGAGGCGCCAAGGTAGGAAGATCACTTAAGGCCAGGAGTTCAAGACCAGCCTGGGTAACATAGCAAGATCTCATCTCTACAAGAAATAAAAAAATTAGCCTGGCATGGTGGCACATACTACTCAGGAGGCTGAAGCAGTAGGAACACCTGATCCCAGGAATTTGAGGCTACAGTGAACTGTGATTATGCCACTGCACTCCAGCCTAGGTGACAGAGTGATACCCCAACTCCAAAAAAAAAAAAAAAGAGAAAGAAATGGAGTGGGCTTTCTGGGGTAGGATCACTGTATATAGCTGTGCAAGTCAGGCACTCTACAACTTCAGGGTATTGTCCTTGTAGAATAGATCTTAAGCAGGGTTCCCTAGAGTTGTACCTTTAACAACCTGCACAGCTGTATGTGGCAGCCTGGGAGATCCTGATGTTACATAGAGGAGGCGGGGAAGGACCCAGACCCTGGAATCAATCAGTCTGCCCTCCAGCCTAAGCAGGGGCCTCTGGAGTACGGTTCTCGACTAAAGCTCAAGCAGCTATCCTATTGCAAGTTCTCCCTCCCCCTTCTCTGACATCACTACACTCACATACTTAGATCTATAGCATCCCTCTTTGAGAGTAGGGCCAGGCTTGTAAAATGCTGAAGGTGGGGTACTTGTTCTCCTCTACCAGTGGTCCCTTCCTCCTGTCCAGCTGCCACTGGTAGCTCCCATACTGGAGTGAGGAAGATAAAACTGTTCTCTGTAGGCTATCAAAGATGACCAAAGCAAAGCAAGACACCTCAGCCCCAGCAAACCTCCTAGGCTGATCCCCAGTGGAACCAAGGCATGCAGAGTAGAGCCGGATTGCTGGGCTAAGGGAATTCAGGGTTGCCGCCTGGACTTGCCTTCCTATTTTTGGAGGCTGGGACAGAGCTGGACCCTCCCCAGCGCCTTGCCAGCACCCTGACCCTGGCCCTTCCTCACCTGCACCGTCCACGTCACTTGCTGGGCCATCTGCCAGTCACCCTGGGGGAGCAGGACACACCAGCCTCTTCCTGTGTCTCCCAGCTGTATTGTGGACTGTTTAAGGATCAAGCCTGCTCCTCTGACTTTTTAAGAACAGCAGCAGGCCTGAGGACACAATCCACCCTGCCCTCAGGCCTTTGAAGCTGGGCCAGGAGCCTTCCCATACATCCGGTGTCCTAACGTGACACAGGATTGATGATGTGTGGGGCTCTTGGGTTGCATGCAAAAGGCCACCCTGGGGGGAGGGGGAGTTCAGGCTACGGAGGAAAGGGATCCCTTGCAGGGGACTCTGATTCCATCCAGAGGTTCCTGCGTTGCCTTGCCTGAGCCTGGCCCCCGTGAAGCCATGCTTGGTTCTGCCATGTCCCTCCTCCCTCGCCCCTCCAGGAGAGGAAGGAAGCGTCTGATTTGGGAAAGAGCCTTGGTTCTTCCTAGAGCGGGGGTATTCCCAGAGAGCTGACCAGAGGCCTAGCCCACCTCCTGCCAGCAGGCTGCTCCATGTGGCACAGACATTGGCCCCAAGGCTAGCTGAAGCCCAGCTTCCCTCTCCAAGCCTTGGTGGAAGGAAGAGCTTCAGGCAGTAGCTCTGGAGTGCCTGGTGAGCCATGGGATCCTCTGGAGTCCTTGAATCCCCACAGGCATCCCTTTTGGATACCTGCATCTATACCCCATCGCTTCACCCAACCCACTGAAGACCAGAAAAGGCCTGCAAAAGGCCCGTGGCAGTCCCTTCCTTTACCTTACTCTGCCGTCCCAGCACCACCCACCATAGAAACAGCAGTCCCTGGGCCAGCACCTCCCGCAAGCCCCCCCACCACACACACACAGGGGTGACAACAGAGACTAAGGGCCACAGAGCTTAGCTGAACTGTGTAAATCAGCAATCATTTTTTAAAATTTTGTATCTAAAAGTTTTCAGTCATGGTTATTGATTTTTTTTTTTTTTTTTAATTAGAAAGCTGCTCGCGACGGTCTCTAGAGACAGATGGATGAGCCCCAACCTAGAGTGGAGGCAGGGAAAGATTCCTGGCCTTTGTCATGGCTGACCTTTCAGGACAAAGGATGGGCCTTTCTGGATAGGATCCAAGCTTCAGTCTGGACAGAACAAACCCCAGTCCCAACTGGCAGGAGCCACTTTTCTGGGAACTGTCAGGGCCCTGGCCATCCCCAAAGGAGGCCAAAGGACTATGGGCGGTGGCCATCTTCCCCCCTCCCGCCTACTTACAGGAACCTTCTTGGGCTAGGGCAGCACACACAGGCCCTCACCCCTGGCTCCCATTGTGGGTCTGGTGAGGAGTTCCCTGAAGGCTGAGGTGGCTGCATGAGCCGAGTTGGAAGAGGAAGGCTTCCTGCAGACCCTTGCAGCAGCTCCTCTCCCATGGCTGAGGCACAGAAGAATGGTGTGCTCCAAGCCGTCTCTTCTTTTGCCTTCTCCCAGCAAACACACAAACATTGACAGCTCATAAAGATCAAGGGAGCTCGTGGCCCTGGACTGCCTGACCCTGGCCACACATGCTTGCGGCAGCAAGAGCCCAGCCCATCTGTTTACAGGACACTCAGCAGTTACTCCCAGGAAAATCCCTGCCCTTTGAGAAAGGAACACTGGTGAAAGGGTTTGTGCTTGGCCAGCCAGGCCTGGCCTGAGGAGGCAGTGCCCCCCCCCCCATTCCAGCGTAGGCCCCCAGCCCTCACAGGCACCTCCCTGTTCTCCTTCCACAGGTACCTGACCCGCTGGGCTCCTCGTTCCGTCAAGCCCATCTACAACAAAGGCCACCGCTGGAACAAGGTGCGCATGGCTGTGGGATCACCCCTTCTGAGGGACAATGTCTCCTACTCACGGACACCCTTGAAGCTGTATCACTGACTTGAGAGCAGGGCTTCCAGAGAGCCTGGCTGGAGTGCCTCCTGCACCTCCGCTGTGGAGGGGGAGGCCTGCTCACGACCCCTCAGCCATTCCTGCTCCAGCCCACCCGGTTGGCCTGACCCTGCCAACACGAAGACAAGGGACTGTGGAACTAACTTCAGGACCCCTGGCCTGCCCAGTAGCAGTGCTGGGAGCTAGGGGAGGCAGGGAAGTTGGGTCCCTTGGCAGCTGCTGTATGACTTGGGCTGTGCTCAGTGCTGAGAGACAGTTTTCTGCAAAGGAATGTCATAAATGAGGCCCATGGGTTACCATTGGTCTGTGCTCACTGCTTGGGAAGTGGGCCTGGGCACGTTTCCGACTGGTTGCTGGGCACTGAGCTGTGGTCTCGTGATGGGTCTCATGCAGCTGGAGGAGCTCCCGGCCAAGCAGGCTCATGCCCTGTATTGACAGCAGTGAGCTCTCATCTAGGGGAGCTGACCCACGAGCAACTCTCATTAGAGTCCAAGAAACTGTCCTTCGCGAGCCCCTGGTTGCCACCTTCTGCAGCCGTCCCTACCCATTGCTATCTAGTATCTCTTGTTCGAGTATCTAGCCCTCTGCCTCATGCTGTAGAGTGGGCTTGCAGCTCTGGGGGTCTCTCCTCAGAGCCTGCACCGATAGAGGTGGAGCTGAGGGGAGGCAGGACAGAACAGACAGGCTAGAGTCACAGAAATTTATGAAAATAACATTCGGACTCTGCATTCAAAATCTCTAGACCGCCCCTTCCTACAGCATGAAGGGCAAGTCCATGTTCTTCTCGCCGGTGCCCACATAGATGGAGCCGTAGTTCTTGGTGCGGGGGGCGTGGTAGAAGGTGAGGCCGGGCCAGAGCAGGCTGCGCAGCACCACCAAGGCGTTGCCCCTTTCCATCTGGATGCTCCAGGATCCTGGGGAAGAGATGGGCTGCCGGTGAGGTCTAGGGCTTTGCCTTGTGCTAAGCTTCCACTGGGCAGGGGAAGACAGTTTAATTATCCATGCACTTGATTCCTGGTTGCCTTCTTAGCTGTTTCACTGTTCTTTAAAATCATGTCCAAGCCGGGCTCAGTGGCTCAGCCTGTAATCCCGCGCCTTGGGAGGCTGAGGTGAGTGGATTGCCTGAGCCTGCAAGTTCGAGAACCCCCCCTGGGCAACTTGGTGAGACCTCATCTCTACAGTAAATCAAAAAAATCAGCTGGGCGTGGTAGCCCGCGCCTGTAGTTCCAGCTACTTGGAAGGCTGAGGTGGAAGGATCACCGGAGCCCAGCAGGTCGAGGCTGCGGTGGCTGGAAACGGCCACTGCACTTCAGTCTGGGCGACAGAGTGAGACTCCAACTCAAAAAAAAAAAAAATCATGTCCAGAGGGAGGGCAAAGGAAATGAAAAGAGGTGAATCTCAAACCAGTCGGTTTTGTTCCTGTCAGCAGGTCCAGCTAAAGGCTGAGAGGAGAGGAGAGGAGGCTGAGTACACAGGCAGAGGGGTGTTGGGCTGGCCAGGGAGACCCAGGCTCCTCCCACCCTGCACCCAGCAGTCATCAGTGACCTGTAGTCCTAGTGTGGCTTGCCTCTACTTGCCACCTTCCTCTCTTGGAGTCTCAGAAGCCTCTACTTGGAGAGATGGATTCTACCAGACCAGGAAGGGAAGGCTCAGAAGTGTGGCTGTCAGGCCTCGCAGCTCAGTGACCCTTGCTGCCAGCTGGTAGACTGGGAACCATCCTTGCTGGGAAGGGACTGGGCTGCCCCCAGTGAGCCTTTGTCTATCCTAGGTTCTGCTCTGGTTTTTGCACCCTCAGACAGGAGCATCCAGCCTGGGGCCGAGTTGTGCAGCCTGAGGATTTGGCTGGAAGGGCCTGATCCAGCTCCAGAACCGAGGGAGGGAGCCGTTGTGTGGGAGGAAGGAGCCTGGGAAAATCGCCTCTGGATGCAGATCTGGGGCTTCTAGTCCCCTGTGCGCCGAGGCCTCTCCCGGCCCAGCCACAGCTCTGCTACAGGCCCTGCCAGAAAGGCAAATGCTTTGAAGGTTTTGGTGTTGGACCAGCCAGCCATACACTGAGAGCTGCTCGGAGGCCTTCATCAGCTGCCAGCTCAGCCCAGCCGCTTGACTGCCGCTGCCCCAGCTTCCCATGGGCCACCCCCAGCCCTGGCCCACCCCGGTCACTCCACACCCAGCAGCCTCATAACTCAGTCCCCACCCACTGGGGGCCACCCTGCATCAGCGAAACCTAACTGCTGGGAGCCCCTGACCCTGATGGCAGCTCAGCCCGGCTCAGGGTGCAGCCTTCTGCCCAGGTTGAAGCCAGAGTTTTCTGGGAGCCTGTAAGTTGGCTGTCCTTGGCCCTGCTCAGGGAGACCTGTCTCAGAGCTCACCTTACCACTGGGCAGTGACTGGCACCGAGTGCCACACCCATGCATGGAGTGAGGGAGTGGGGGCCCCAGTGTGGACTTAGCTCCCCTGGCCTACACAGTGCCTGCCGGACACCAGGAAGCAAGAAGAGCTGCTTTGTCACCAGCACTGCCTGGGAAGGGGCGTACTTCCCTGGTTCTTACAGCTTCTCTCTCTGGTGCCTGAGTTCTCCACCTGCCAGACCTGCCTTCAGAGCTCCTAGCCTTCCTGGTCACCTGTCCCCAGAAGATGGGTGCCTGGGGGTGATGAGGGTGGGGGTCTAACAGCAGTGTTCCTAGTCCACTGCCTTTGGCCCTGGCAAGAAGCACAGGCTTGGGAAGATCCCATTCCCTCCCTTAGTTACCCCCGCCCCTGAGAAAGGCAGGGTTCTGCTTTGCTCCTCCCTGCTACCCGGGGAGGAGGCTTGCAGCCTGCCAGGGCCAAATGCTGGCCTGGAGAGAACAGAATCCTGGAGTCCCCCAGCCTAGATCCTAGTCAGCACACCCAGTCAAGGGCTGGGTCCTGACCTGTGCTCTCACCAGCCTGCCTGTCCTAGGGTTTGACCCCCTCTTGCCCCCAGTAGGTAAGTGGCGGGAGGGGCAGAAGGGTCTCAGACAAAGGCCCAGGCCTGTCAGCAGGGACTCCCACCCAGAGAGCAGGGAGGAACTGGTGGTAGGGATGCGTGAGAAATACAGTGCCCCCACCTGGCTGGAGGGCAGTGCCAAGCAGGCCAAAGGGTGCTGGCGGCACGTGAGGGGCCAGCCAGCCATCGACACTGCCTCCCTCCCTCCCTCGCATTCCTGTCACACTCCTGTCCTATCATTGTCCCTAGCTCAGCTGGTCGCCCGGGAAACACACAGACTCTCAACGTGCCAGGAGTCACGTAGTGTCTACCTGAGGAACCAGGCACTTCCTATCACCTTCACCCACTTTCTTACTGCAGCTGTTGGGAAGGCTGAGCCCAGCTGGCTGCTGTCACCTCTAAGACTCAGGAAAACAGCCCCCAGCAGCCCTGGTGTTGCCATTCACAGCCCCTGCTCTCTCCTTAGTCTCCCCACGCCTCCTCTCCTGCCCCTGGGCAGCCACTCTTCTCCAGAAGACCTGTTTGAGGATGTGGTGGAACACAAGCCTGTAAATGGGGTGGGGCAAGGGGAGCTCTTGCAGTTGGCAGGAAGTTCTGGGGCTCCCAGATTTCACCCACCTTGCTAGTGTGGAAACCTCAGGCTAGAGTGTACTATCCTAATTACTTTCTCCTGCCATCTAGGAAGAAAGAAAAGTTCTGAGATTGAAATTGAGGCAGAGAGCGGGCCAGGCTGGGGATCGGGGATGTTCAGGGGAAACAGATGGCTTAAACCCTCTCCTGAGACTAACACCACACACGAAAAAGTGACCACCCTAGCTTAGGCAACACAGCGAGACCCTGTCTCTATGAAAAACAGAAAAATTAGCCAGGCATGGTGGCACATGCCTGTAGTCACAGCTACTCAGGAGGCTGAGGTGGGAGGATCATTTAAGCCCAGGAGTTCAAGGCTACAGTGAGCTAGGATCACATGACTGCCCTCCAGCCTGGCCAACAGAGTAAGACTCTGTCTCAAAACAAAAACAAAAAGACACCATGGGATCCCAGTGGGGGAAGCCACAAGGTACAGTCAAATCCTCTAGAGGCCTGGGGACAAAGGAGGAAGAGTGAGGCACCCCTGGTGTCAGTCCCGTCAAATTGGCGGCAGAGCTAGACCCTGGTCCAGAAGTCTGGGCACTTGTCAGCCTGGCTTCCAAGGGACTGGGCACTGGCACCCACCCTCACGAGAAGGCTAACCTTGGGCACCGTGTTCCCCACCTCTCTGAACACCCCTGTCCCATTCATCCCCCGCCTGCTCTTCAACTGTGGTCACCACCAGTGTTCAAAGGTCGCTATCCAGGCAGGCAGGCCCCTTGCTGCCCTCTGCTGCCTGAACTGAGCATTGCTGCTGAGAGCTTGCCTGTAACTACCTGGCAGTTCTCAGACCTCTCTGCTCCAGCCCAGAGTAGAGCCAGGACAGGAGCTCTGCCCTCCAGCTCTCCCGCTCGGCTTCCCAGGACACCGAGGACCCCGTTTGTAAGACACCTTCGAGTTTACATTTTCCCTTCCCATCCTCTTCAATTTGATCTTCCCAACCCTTTGTGAGGCAAGGGAGGTATCTATCTTGTTCTGAGGACTCAGTGGCTATTTGCTGATAGAGTGAAAAGTGAAGGAGCATTGAATGACAGAATATGACCCAGAAATCTGGCCTCTTGACCTAGGGCTCTGTTTGTGTCACCTAGCTATGACCCAAAGTCAGAGAACTCTTTGTCTTTGCCCTGTATACCCGAGAAAGGTGGTCCTGCTACTCCAGAACTAGGTGGTGCCCCCCTCAAAGATACCCATGCCCACAAAACTGCAGATCCCAGCACGGCATGACAGGACACTAGTGGCCCTAGGCAACATTCTCCCTCTAGCCAAGACTGGCCCAGGGACAAATTGCTGAGCTCCTGGCCTACCTCCATGGACACAGAGAACAGGAGTCCCAGGGACAGGGCTAACCTAAACCATCTCTGCCCACAGGTGACACGAAGTCATGAACAGCTGCCTCAGATCCAGAAAGAAAACAACGATCCTACTGGGCAAAAGACAGTTGCCAAATCCCAGCCCTCCAGCCAGCCCTGGTGTCCCAGGGAACTCTTCCTTGGGGTTTTGACCCCTCCTAGAAGCCCAGCTCAGCTGGGATGCTGCCTGTCTGGCAGGGGTGCCTCCCAGGAGCTCAGTCTGCCCTTTCCCTGGTTGATAAGGAAGACAGCCTGGGCACTCCCCCCATACCATCCACACTTCCACCCCATGGCCTTGGCCTCCACCAAACCATCATGAGAAAAAGCTGGCCCTGACTTCCTGAGGCTTTCTGGGAGCAGCCCTGGGAGGAAGGAGCTGCAGGCCTGAGGCTGTGGGGAGGTTTCCCAAGGTAATGCCCGGAGCATCCCTCCCCTCAGGCACACGCGCACAGGAAATGCCTTCAGCTCCCGGCTGCAGCACTGAGGACAAAGCCCACACTGGGGTGAACCAGCCAGGGGAGCAAGTAGCTGGCCCAGTATCCCTGGAGCTAACATTAGGATAGGAAGCCTAGAGCCTGCACCCAGGCCAGGTTCCACCCCTCTCAGAGGCCTGGTGACTTCACTCGCTGATTGGACACCTCAGAGGGCCCGGCAGACTTTAGGAAGACCCCTAAATCTCCATGTTTTACTTCTGCTTCAAGGAGGAATACTGCCTCCTGGGTCCACCTTACCCCAGATGGCAGGGCAAACAGGGCTGACGTCCCCTTGGAAGACTTTGCTGGGCCTTGCTCCATCTTCCTGGTTCTGGCTGCGGTGGCAGCAGAAGCCGTCACCTCTTAGCTCCTCTTAACACACAGAGGATGAGGCTCCCTGGGGTGGGGGAAAGGCCGCTGTATGAGCCCCCATTACCCACACAGGCAGAACCCCATCCTCCAGTCCCAGAGCATCCAACTGTAGGCGAGAAGGCTGGAAGGCTTCCAGACACACTCTGGATTGGGATGGGGAGAATGAAGAGAACTTTTGTCGGCCTACCCTCAGCCCCTGGCACTGGGGTCCCAGCACTGCCACCATCGGCAGCTCCCTTTGGGAACAAGGGCTATGTGCCCCCCTCCAGCTCCTGGCAAGGCCGGGAGCAGAGTTGGAGGAGACACAGGGAGTCTGAGAAGTGTGTCTGGTGGGTAGGAACCATGAGCCCTCTTCATCTCCCCTGCTGGTCCGGGAGCCCCTCTCTTCCGTCACCGCAGGACTGGCTATGCTGAGGGTGGCTTGGCTCGGGTGTTCCTGTGTGGTGTGGGTCAGAATGGCCACTTGTCAGTGGCAGCTCCTACCCACTCGGACCACTGCCTGGCCTAGGGTGCTGCAGTGGCCCTGAAATGGCCTCCTGATGCCCGGTTTGCCTTGCCCCTGCTCAGTCCACCTGTGCACCACTGCCCTGTCAAGTCCTGCTCACAAGCCACCAGCAGTTCTACTGCCTTGGCCTTCTAGGCCCTTCTGGGCCCACCCCAAATCGTTTCTAAGGACCATTGTGTAAACATATGTGTAAACATGATTTCAGGCATGCCTTGCTTTGTTGCGCTTCACAGATCCTGCGTTTCCACACATGGAAGGTTTGCAGTAACCATGCGGCGAGCAAGCCTACTGAAGTCATTTTCCATTTTTTTTTTTTTTTTTTTTTTTTGAGTCAGAGTCTCACGCTGTCACCCAGGCTGGAGGGCAGTGGCACGCTCCCGGCCACCGCAGCCTCGACCTGCTGGGCTCCGGCGATCCTTCCACCTCAGCCTTCCAAGTAGCTGGAACTACATACATGCGCTACCACGCCCGGCTAATTTTTTTGATGTATTGTAGAGATGAATAGTTGCCCTGGAGGGTCTCGAATCCGCGGGCTCAGGCAATTCACTCACCTCGGCCTCCCAAAGCGCAGGATTACAGACTGAGCCACCGAGCCTGGCCTGACGTCATTTTCCAACAGCATGTGCTTGCTTTGTGTCTTTGTGTCACATTTTCGTAATTCTCACATTTCAGACCTTTTTTGTTATCATCTCTGTTATGATGACTTGTGATCAGTGATCTTTGATGTTACTATTGTAATTGTTTTGGGGTGCCACGAACCATGCCCATATACAACAGAGAACTTAAATGATAATGTTTTGTGTGTTCTGACTGCTCCACCAACCAGCCGTTCCCCCATCTCTTTTCCTCTCCTCAGGCCTCCCTATGCCCTGAGACAAAACAATATAGAAATTAGACCAATGAACAGTCCTACACTGGTCTCTAAGTGCTCAAGTAAAAGGAAGACTCACACATCTCTCACTTCAAATCAGAAGTTAGAAATGAGGCCAGCACAGGGCTTACACCTGTAATCTCAGCACTTTGGGAGGCCGAGGTAGGAGAATCACTTAAGCCCAGGAGTGCAAGACCAGCCTAGGCATATAATGAGACCTTGTCTCTACAAAAAATAAAAATAAAAAAAATTTAGCCAGGCGTGGTGGCATGCATCTGTAGTCTAGCTACTCAGAAGACAGAGGAAGAAGGATCACTTGAGCCCAGAAAGTTGAGGCTGCAGTGAGCTGCACCCTCCAGCCTTGGTGACAGAGTGAGACCCTGTCTCAAAACAAATTTGAATAAACTAGAAATGATTAAGCGTAGTGAGGAAGGCATGCTATAAACTGAGACTTCTTGCACCAAACAGCCAAGTTGTGAATGCAAAGGAAAAGCTATTGAAGGACATTAAAAGTGCTACTCCATTATTCAGACCCACTGTGGCTTAAAACAAAAAGTTACTCCAGTAAAAACATGAAGGATAAGACGTGAAACAGCCTTATTGCTGGTCTGGAGAAAGTTTCAGTGGCTGAATAGATCAAACCAGCTGCAACATTCCCTGAAGCCAAAGCCTCATCCAGAGCAAAGTCCTAACTCTCTTCAATCCTATGAAAGCTGAGAGAGGTGAGGAAGCTATAAGAGAAAAGTTAGAAGCGAACAGAGGTTTCATGAGGTTTAAGGAAAGAAGCCACCAGGTGCGGTGGCTCACCCCTGCAATCCCAGCCCTTTGGGATTGCGAGATGATTGCCCGAGCCCATGGTTTGAGACCAGCCTGGGGAACAAAGCAAGACCTCATCTCTATAATAAATCAAAAAATTAGCCAGGCATGGTGGTACACGCCTATAGTTCCAGCTACCTATAAAGCAGAAGCAAAAGGATTGCCTGAGACCAGCAGGTTGAGGCCGCGGTGGCTGTGAGCATGCCACTGCACTCCAGCCTGGGCGACAGAGACTTCGACTCCAAAAAAAAAAGAGGAAAGAAGCTGTCTTCACAACATAGAGGTGGAAGGTGGAGCAGTAAGTGCCAATGGAGAAGCTGCAGCAAGTTCTCCAGAAGATCCAGCAAAGGTCATCGATGAAGGTGGCCACACTAAGCTACAGAACAATGTAAACATAACTTGTATATGCACTGGGAAGCCAAAAACGGTGGGACTTGCGTTATTGCAATATTTACCTGATGGTGGAGGTCAGCAACCAGACCCACGATGTCTCCAAGGTATGTCTGTGTTCACTTTTATCTGAGTCCTTACTATATGATAGGCACGTTTATAAGCATTTTGTGTGTGAGTTAACATACTAATTCGTATCACAACTCAGTGAAATGAATTGAGGGATTTGCCCGAAGCCACCCAGTGAGTAAGTGGCCAGTCAGGATTCTAACCCAGGCTGTCGATGCCAGAGCTCCTGCCATTCCCATCCCATCCCGAAGCTCCTTGTTCCTCTCAAGTGCTCCCCCTAGGGGTGGGGGTAACTGCTGTGCTGTCCTGTCCTTCCCATTGTCATTTAAAAGGAAGTACCAGCTACTTGACACCACAGGTAATGCCAGGGCTCTGGAGTCTAACACCCTAACACTGTACCCTTGGGTTTGACTCTCTGAGCTTCTGTTTCTTCCTCTGTACATGGGGATAATAATAACAATATCCCCCTTGTAGGCTGGCTGTGAAGATTAACATGAGACTAGGCATGGCAAGGACTGTGGGCAGCGTCTGGCTTTTATGAGTTGGTTATTCTTTTTTTTTTTTTTTTTGAGTCAGAGTCTCACTCTGATGCCCACGCTAGAGTACAGTGGCATGTTCACAGCCACCGCAGCCTTGACCTGCTGGGCTCAGGCGCTCCTTCTGTCTCAGCCTTCCAAGTAGCTGGAAGTATATGTGTATGTATGCTACTAAGTGTACCACTATGTCTGGCTAATTTTTTGATTTACTGTAGAGACAGTTCTCACCCAATTGCCCAGGCTGGTCTCAAACCCCTGGGATCAGGCAATCCTCCCGCCTCCGCCTCCCAAAGTGCCAGGATTACAGGAATGAGCCATCAGGCCTGGTGGAGCTGGTTATTCGTATTGTCATCCATCATCATCATCAGACTCCTCTTCCTCTCAGAGCCACCCAACACGGAAAGGGAAGGGAGTGGACAGTGGGTCCCCAGTCCCCAGAGCCCGGCAGCTGTCTTGGGTCCGAGTGTCCAAGGACCTATTCTTCTCTACTGGTAATGTTCAAAGGAAGGAGCTTGGTGGTGCTCCCAACAACTGCTGGATTTGAGCCTGGGCCAGGTGGGCCCCGGAGCACACGAAGACCTCTGAAGCTGTGTGTGTTGACATTTAAAAGGGCCACACACAAGATGGGCTCAGTGGCTCAGCCTGTAATCCCGCGCCTTTGGGAGGCTGAGGTGAATGGATTGCCTGAGCCCGTGGGTTTGAGACCCGCCTGGGCAACTTGGCGAGGCCTCATCTCTAACAATAAATCAAAAATTAGCTGGGCATAGTAGCGTGCGCCTGTAGTTCCGGCTGCTTGGAAGGCTGAGGCGGAAGGATCGCCGGAACCTACCAGGTCAAGGCTGCGGTGGCCAGCAGAGGCCACTGCACCCCAGTCTGGGCGACAGATTGAGACTCCAACTCAAAAAAAAAAAAGAAAAAAAAAAGGGCCACACATAGCAGAAAGCAAATGTACAGAACTCATTTCCTGCTCTAGCTGTGTTTTTATAAGAAAAAAAAGAATTTATAACCCAAAAAAAGCCCTCATTTCCTTAGCAGGCAGTTTGCTATTCAATCAACACATACTTTCTGAGCACCAGCTATGTGCCAAGCATTGTGTCAAATTCCTAAATCCCAGAATCCCAAAAGTAAAAGCTAAATAGATGTAAAGGTAGGGTTTCCAGGAGTGTTTGGGGGGAGATTTCCAACGGCCTCCATTCCAGATTGCTCAGAAAATCAAGAGATGCTGAGATCTCTCCTGTCTGTAGGAGCACATGGAAAACAATCCTACCTTTTGTCATTCAAAAGTCTTAACAGAGTTTCCTGTGAGCTGGGCCCTGGGGAAGCCCCACCCTCAGGAACCCTTGGTGAGCCACCAATTCCCAGCCAGGCCCTTGGCTCCAGTCTCAAAGGAGAAGGGCAGGTGGCCCAGCCTACGGCTCTGGCCTGGGGCAGGACCCATGACCTCGAGATAATGGACTCTCACCTTTGGGGATGTCATGCTCCAAGGAATCCATGAAGTCCAGGGAGGGGTCCAGATCAGCCTTCTCGAGCAAGGTCTTATTCTTCAGCTCTACAGGCTCCCTGAAGTGGAAGTAGGAACTGAGCTTCTTGGCCTCAGACAAAGACAGTCCTAGATGGGGGGCAGGCAGGAAGAGGGTGCTTAGATCCAAGCCCTACAGCCCTCTTTCTGCGTTGGGATCACATGGAAGGGCTAGCAAAGGAAACAGCCAACCACAGGCTGGGAGCTGGAGGAAGGAAGGGGACTAGTGTTCCCTCAACCCAACTTGACCCCGATCTTACACTAAAAGAGTCCAAGGAGAAAGGAGGTAGGAGAGTACAGGTAGCCTGGACCAATGTCAAGCCCCGGAGCCCAGGACCATATGCTCTCCCACCCTCAAGCAGAAGAGAGTCAGGGTCTAGTATCTGGGAGCCCATGCCAACCATCGGTGCCAGGTGATGTGGCCACAGCTGCTCCTCCAAGGTAGTGGGACAGTTCCCCTTGGGAACTCCCAGTCATATGTTAACTGTGCTTGGGAAGAGATACCCTCCTGCCCCTGAGAGGGTCCCTGGAGAAGTCACCTTCAAAGACCCGATTGACATGGGTGGGTCCAAAAGGGGTCCTGAAGAGGGCACCTCGGGGGATGATAGCCACCGCCTTGTCAATCTGGTCAATGATGGACACCAAGCGGGTCTCTTCCTTGATCTGGACCTGAGGAGACAGGAGAGGAGCCATCTTGCCCACTCACCCTTAGTGCAAGGACCCTCTGCATGACCATCTCACCTGAGTTACCACAGTGTAGATACCAGGGCCACCAAGGTCACACTGGGTAAGCCCTCATCACCTTCCCTCCTGTCAAGATAGTCTTTTTCTTTGTTTCTTTTTTTTTTTGAGTCAAGTTCTCACTCTGTCACTGGACTGGAGGACAGTGGTACAATCACAGCTCATCACAGCCTCAAACTCCTGGGCTCAAGTGATCCTCTCTCCTCAGTCTTCTAAGTAGGTGGGACTATAGGCATGCACCGCCATGCCTGGCTTTTTTAAAATTTTACGTTGCTCAGGTTGGTCTCCAATTCCTGGGCTTATGCAATCCTCCTATCTCAGGCTACCAAAGTGTTGGGATTACAGGTATGAGCAGTGGCCTGCCTTTTTATTTATTTTTAATGGGTAATACATATAGGTGGTTTCAATATTCAAAACCACCCCCTAAAAAACCCATCTTTTAGCCCAGTCTCCGGCCCCCTAGTTGCCCTCACGGGGCAACCACCACTAATGGTTTCTTATACCCTCTCCCAAAGACATACCACGCTATCACCACATGTAAACGTTGCTTATTTTGCCTTTTTAAAACATAAAAGCAATCCTGCTCTCTGTAGAGTATTTGGACAATATAGAAAGACATACCTAGCTGGGCACGGTGGCTCATGCCTGTAATCCCAGCACTTTGGGAGGCAGAGGTGAGAGGATTGCCTGAGTCCAGGGGTTTGAGACCAGCCTGGGCAACTTGGCAAGACCTCATCTCTATAATAAACTTAAAAAGTAGCCGGGTGTGGTGGTGCACCCCTATAGTCCCACCTACTTAGAAGACTGAGGAGAGAGGATCACTTGAGCCCAGGAGTTTGAGGCTGTGGTGGTCACAAGTGTGCCGCTGCACTCTAGCCTGGGTGACAGAGTGAGACTCTTACTCAAAAAAACAAACAAACAAAAAACCCTGAGGCTCAGGGATACTGAGTATATCAAGTGGGAGAGGATGGGGGTTGCAGCTGAGGCCTCACAGACCTAGACCCAGACTTTGGCATCATTAGGGTTCAAGTGCAGAGGCTGGGCTTCAAATTTCAGGTTTGCCTAGTTTCAAAATTGGGGCTCCTCTTGACCTAGCAATTCCATTTCTAGGAAGTGACCCTTCTGATAAATGCACACAGTAGAAATTATATTTGTATAGGGTCATTCATTACGACACTGTTTGTCAGAGCTAAAACTTGGAAACCTACATTTCCATGAATAAGACTGGTTAAATTATGGTACGTCCCCCAATGGCAGAAAGAACGGGGAGGCTCTTGAAGGCACTGATAAAGATCTCCAAAAATATATTGTTTAGTGAAAAAAAGCAAGGTGCAGAACTGTGTACGATATACTGGAATTTTTTCTTGTTTGTTTGTTTGAGTCAGAGTCTCACTCTGTCACCCAGGCAGTGGCACGCTCACAGCCACCGCAGCCTTGGCTGCTGGGCTTAGGCGATCCTTCCGCGTCAGCCTTCCTAGTAGCTGGAACTACAGGCATGCACCACCACACCCGGCTAATTTTATGATTTATTGTAGAGACGAGGTCTCACCATGTTGCTCAGGCTGGTCTCGATTCCCTGAGCTCACACAATCCACTTGCCTCTGCCTCCCAAAGTGCTGGGAATACCGGCGTGAGCCACTGTGCCTGGCTGTTTGTTTTTAAGGTAAAAAGAGAATATGTATAGGTGAAGTATTTGCTGAGGTTTGTACTTGCATAAAATGTCTCTGGGTCAGGTGTGATGGCTCACACCTGTAATTCCAGCACTTTGGGAGGCCCAGGTGGGAAGAATGCTTGAGCCCAGGAATTTGAGACCAACCTGGGCAACATAGCAAGACACCATCTCTCAAAAAAGAGAGAGAGAGAGAGAGAGAGAGAGAGAGAGAGAGAGAGAGAGAGAGAGAGATGATAATAGTAGCCATTGCCATAATTTGTGGGGCTAGGTAGGGATGGCCTAGGCCCTGTTAATTCAGCCCCCCTCCTCCTCTCCATAACACTCACCACTACTTCTTCTAAGAGCTTTTCGCCTTCGTTCGTCTCCTGCAGCTCAGTGTGTTCATACTCATGGGAGGGGTCTCCCATGAAGCGGCCCTTCACCACAGACGTCCGCACTTCCATCTCCTCTGTGGCTGGGGGCAGGAGGCTCCATTCCATGCAGTTCAGGCTGCCAACAACAACATCCACGCCACCCCTGGGTTCCAACTCCCGCCTCACCCAGTCTTCCTACTACCTTCCCTTCTCTCCAGCAGGCTGGAAGAGCTGTTGGAATCCCCATCTTTTCTGCCAATGCTGTTTTGTGACCCTCAGAAGCCCTAGTGCCTATGGTGTACCCCAACCTCACACGTGATGCAAATTCAAGTTTCTCCCTCCAAAGGTCTCAAAAGTTTCATGCATGCTGAAATGAAATTAGCCTCTTCCTAGATATCTGGACTGTGAAATTCCAGATGAGGTTCTGGAAGCTGAGCTTTCCTTGGTTGTGGGCATGCCTGCTTTGGTAGGCCTTAAATACGTCCGCAGCCTGCCTACAGCTTGGCCGTTTCCTCCCGTTTTTCAGGAAAGTTCCGCCTGGGCTCAAGGACACCTCCGCCTTTGGTGTCTTCAAGAGTACATACCAAGCCGGGCTTGGTGGCTCAACCTGTAATCCCGCTTTGGGAGGCTGAGGTGAGTGGATTTCCTGAGCCCGCGGGTTCGAGACCCGCCTGGGCAGCGAGACCTCATCCCTACAATAAATCA